GCAACCGTCGATTTTAAATGTAAGTTACGCGCGCCAAATCAGTGTTCATCATCATCATCATTTTGGCTTTACAACCCTGTGTGGGTCCTAGCCTCCCCAAGAATTCTCTTCCAGTCGTCCCTATCCATCGCCTTCCTCCGCCAAGCACGTATTTCCATATTTCTCATATCTTGGTCTATGTTATCTAGGAATCTTGTTCTGGGTCTTCCTCTTCTTCTTTCACCAATAGGTCTATCAAGGAACGTTTTTCTAGCTGGGTCGGTTTGCTCCATCCGCATTACATGGCCTACCCACCTCAGACGTCCTATCTTAATGTGTTTTATGATATCTGGTTCCTGGTATATTCTATAGAGTTCGAAGCTGTATCGTCTTCTCCCATTACATGGCCTACCCACCTCAGACGTCCTATCTTAATGTGTTTTATGATATCTGGTTCCTGGTATATTCTATAGAGTTCGAAGCTGTATCGTCTTCTCCAGACACACAAATCAGTATTTAATAAAATTTGCATCAGCTCGACGGTAAAAATTCGATATCTTTTGATCCAAGTATCCCATCTACGAAAATCAAGATGCGTTGTAAAGGTAAAGTAAGGTAAAGGTAAACTCCTTTCGTATGGAGTTTGTGTATTTTACCGCGAATAAACTCAGTTTTAATAAATGTGTTAAATAAATAAACGTGGCGTGGTTTTTGCCATTTTTTACGATTCTCGTGAGATCGATAGAATTGATCACTTTCATTGACCAGTCTTTAACTAATGAAAATTAACATTTTCATTTTTAGAGATAAATTTTTAAAACCTATGACATGAAATTTCAATTTTGATTTGTGGCAACAAATATGGGGCATTTGAAATATGAATAAAAAAGGAAGAATTTAATGTTTTACATTACAAACTAGCGGACCAACTCGACATCGAGTTTTTTAAATGAAATTTTTATTTTGCGAGAAAAATTAAGAAATCAATACAAATAATATAAGCAAGAATATACATAACATTCATCAATAATAATGCAAGTAAAAAGTGTATTAAATATCACGAAATATTTCGTCGAAAACGATGTTTTTTGTTACAATGTCTCCATTTTCTGAAAACTTTTGCTTGACACCGGGAGTTATGTAATCGGTTACTTTTTACTTTTTAATAAAAACGAAACCGGAAGTCGACCTCAAAACCGGAATTCAATTTTTAGTTCATCAAATGTCGACATGGATATCATTTAGCAGTTAATTTTGCATGCTGATCACGAATCCGGTGTCAGATTTGCTCGGTATTGACGTTTTATGCGCGTTTCGGATCACTGCTGATGTCGGATCGCAACCGGAAGTACATATTTAGATTCGTCTCGACGAGACCTTTCGATCCATATATACATTGTGGGGTCTAAAACTTAAAGTAAATTTTAACTTCCGGTCATCTCAAAACCGGAAGTGAATTTTTGTACCAAAAGTATATCTTGACAATCCCATACGTAATACTAATAATATTCCGAAAAAATATTGTAATTATCTAATATGGTTTTTGAGTAAAGTGGTGGACAAGAAAAGGGCTTAGCGTTTTAGTATATAAGATTATCGCCCGTCACAGGAAATGCCTCCAGGAAGACGATTTTGGGTGTAGTTTTTAAACATTTTTGTTTTAAACTATCTCAGCTACATTTTTTATTTGAAACATTTTTTTCTACGGTGTACAGATTCTTAGTAAATCGATTTTTTTGCTTTCCTTCTAAAACCTCCCCTTACGAGGTAAAAGTGTCTAAGTCTAAGTAGACTCATAGCATCAAAAGATCGTACTTTAATAAATAATGTACTCCATCAACGCATCTGATCATGCACGTAGCAAATACGAAGTTTACGTTCCGAGTTGTATCAGAAAATAGACTAGAAAGAAAAAAATATCGCCCGTTATTAAGGACTCATGCTCATCGATTTGTATGTGCAGTGTGCAATAACCCTTGTAGACTTGTAGAAAATTCATAAGGTTTGAAACTTTGTACAGTTTTTCAAAAATAGGTTACACAACAAAATTATCGGCAATATTTTAGTTGGAGAAAGAAACTCGTAAACTATGTATCAAAATCACATAGCCGATAACTCTATTTCCGAATACTTTCTCTAGCTGCTACCTGCGTAAAAAATTTCGAAAGACATTCCTGGTTTTGGCTCGACAAGTTGTACATAGCTTCCTTTGTTTAAGGAAGAAAACTATTAAATTTTGCTCAATAGACCAAAGTTCTTCAAAATGGTGGCTTTACAAAAAGGCGTTTTTTATATATTTTATATATTTTATGTCGTAAACATACGACATTAAATGATTTTCCAGTTGTAGAATTTTATCGATTTTCAAAATTATAAATTACTAGTAAGTTATAAAATATTAAAATCCTTGACACACGTATCAGTTTTTATAACCATTATGTAACATTTGGAGTATACAAAAATATAAGAACATATTAAAAACAAATAAAGTTTTTTTATAGATATATTCATAAGCACAAAAATTCAAAAGCTTGTTAGAGTGTTACGGAATAATACTGATTGGAGCGAGACAGATATACTTATGTAGATTATTTTATGGAAAACTAACACTAAATTTAATAATACAATTTTATAAGAAATAACAGAAATCACGAACTCTATTATTTTCAAATAAAATTAATCAAAAAATTAATCAAAATCATTAAAATTTAACGAAATCAAAAGAATGTATACATCGATTATTATTGCATTGTTTCTATGTTATTCAATGAAATACCTATATATCTTTCACCAAATTATTACAGGAACTAAGATCATAATTTTGTTATTTATTTTACATAAACATAAAAAATTTTCGATTTGTTTTTCTAATGTAATAAAATTTAGCTGATTTCATTTTCACTTGAATATCCTATTTATGCGAGGGATCGCCCCATTACTTAATAAATTATTTGCAGCGAATTATGCCGTAGTATCTTTTGGATAAGAATGTTCTCTTTTCTTAAAACCTTCCTCTTACTGTTTGAAGATACGTATCTTGGACGAATTTCTTGGACGACTATAATCAATAGCTTTCAGTGCAAGAAATCGAACCTAAAATAAGTGTATTTTTGAAGGCAAAGCTGCTAATCTCATACACCACCAATTGAATCCCATCCGATTTTCTTTGCAATTTTTTCCTCTTTTTCTCTCTCTTTTAATTCTTGACAACCCTTTTTCCTTTATTTTAATCTAAATTATTATCTGGTTGTTCTTTTTCATGTATATGTTGGTCTGCCTTTTTTCTTTTTCCTGGAGCTCTTTAATGCAGAGTTTGTTTAGAAATAAAGAGTATTTTTTTAGAGGTACAGAACTTTGAAATGGAATAAAACAATGGTGATTTTTATAAATTTACATGAAATTGATTTTATTCAAAAGATAATCTTTTGGCATTATAATTTAAATATGATTTCGGGCATATGACCGTCATGGCTGGCTTTGACGTAGTCTAATCTGGAGGTACAATTTTCCATCACCTTATCCGATATTTTTCGCCGTATATCGGCAATATCGATCAATCGTTTCATGCTTATTAGCGTAGACTAGCACATTCACATATCTCCACATAAAATAGTCCACCAGTGTTAAATCACACGATCTTGAAGGCCAATTCACGGTCCGAAACGTAAAACTATGCGATTACCAAACATTTCCTTCAATCAATCAATGTGACACGAGCTGTGTGACATGTTTCGTCGTCTTATTGAAACGAGAGCTCCTGTACATTATTATGTTCAATTGGGGAATAAAAAGGCAGTAATCATGGCTCTTTAGCGGTCACCATTGACTGTAACGTTCTGGCCAGCATCGTTTTTAGTACGGTCCAATGATTCCACAAAGCACACCAAACAGTCAGTCTTTCTGATTGTAATGGTTTCTCAACACACGTTTGAGGATAGTCTTAACTCCAAATAGGGCAGTTTTGTTTATTGGCGTAGCCATTCAACCAAAAGTGATCATTGCTCAGCAAAATTCACTTTGAATCAATCGCAATCAATCAAATGAAAATCGGAATCAACAGCAATCTCTATTTGGACCCACTCACAGAATTTACAAATCTACGCTTTGCTAGTTGGTGATGTACCTTCAATTTTTGAGTGATTGAATGAGTTGGATTTTGTCAGCATGCAAAGAATCTTCCATAAAGTGGATGGACACGTACCCAACTGCTGTGGTAGATGTCATTTTGTACAATTTGGAAGCGTTGTTCAAGCGTCAAGTCGATTCATGCTGAAATGCCAAACCCAACTTAACATAAATCACTTGAGAGCTGTCAAAATGGCCGACAGTTAAAAAAGTGTTACCAACTTACATTTCTATACCTCTAAAAAACACTCTAGCCTGTCTTTAGTTTTCTTAATGCATGATCAATCCATCATCATTTGAGTTTCCTAATTTTAATGTATCTACTTTGTCCTTATTAGTTAATCTCAATAGTTCTTTAATTATAGTTGGTGGGAATGTTCTAGATATACATCGTAACCATTTTTTTATAAAATATTATAAGTTTTCATCAAAATACAATACTAATTCAAATGTTGTAAAAAGTAATAAATAAAAAACTCACAAGCAATTTATTCTACCATGGACGATCGATTTCGCATACTAATTATGCATCATCAGGTCTCCGGTACGGTACACTAAATAATTCCTATATATACGCGGAAATACGCTTTATACATCTTTAAGTTTCCACGTTCATAAGTATGTTTTAAGTAAGTCTACTTCCCCGTACATATAACAGCAATTTTTGTATCGGCATCATTTAGTTTACCGTACTGCAGACCTGAACATGTATAGTAAAATATAGTATACGAAACCGGTCGTCCGTGGTAGAATAAATTAATTGTGAGTAAGTTATTATATTTAGACTTATTCATTTGAATACCGTGCATTTCTGTTATTTTTTATTACATTAATGAAATTGTGTACCAGAAATAAAATTATGATTATCAAGTACTTAACTATATCTCTAATTTTAGGGAACCTCAACATTGAACAATTTAAATACTCAAAGGCTACTAGATCCTAGATTGAGTTCTGGTCTAGAAAGCATGAGTATGGAACAAAATCAAGATCAGGAGCTCTTGAAGAGATCGCAGTTGGTAAGAAATTCCCTAAGTCTTTTAGACCCCGAAGGTACATCGCTGGCGTCACTCATGGACCTAACCCAACAGGATTTCGATGTTAACGCACCCGTATGTAACAACCTTTTACAAGGAACAGACCTGCTGACGGCTTTAGATATCAACTTGGCCACTATTTAGCCAGCACCACCGCCACGATAACACCACGAGAGTTTGATAATTAAGCATTAAAGATAGTAACAATTTTGGATGAGGTGTTTTTGGGATAAAATGTAAAAGCAAAGAGGAAAATAAGCCGTATCTTATATTGTTAAATATAACTTTTACATTTAAGACATTTTTACATTTTGTAGTTTCGATTGAAATTAAACGTAGGTACTAGTTTCAAGATATTTTTATTATTTTTACAGGAAAGAGAATCTAATTGTTGATCAAGTGAAAAAATTTTATGATACGCCATAGAACAGAAGCTAATATTGATTATGTTTAACTTTTATCTATCTTCATGACTTCATGACCATCTTCAACTTTCTAACGACTTCTTAAAAAGAGTTGACATAAAATGTCTCCACTATTTGATCAATAATGGATGAATCCTTTACTCATAACATAAAAGCAGTTTATGAAAGAACGCAATGGCTCAATACTTGGCGGTTTATATATATTATTATTTGCAAACTGATTTAATTACTAGAAAAATCTGGATTAATAGCAGTGGATCATATCCATTTTGACATTGTACATATACATTCATACAGTATAGGTAAAAGTTTATGGTCGGTATGGACCTTACATGAGATGGAGTGAGAAACAACTGTTTAAAAAGAGAGAGATATATTAGGTGTCCGCCTTTTATATCACCGAACATAAATGAGTGGATATGGAGTGGATATAATAAAAAGGGGAAATTCAACGTTGCCAAACTTATTGGTTTTATTTGACCTGTTGTCTTTTTCGCATTTGAACAATGCTCCAAGATAATGAAATTTGGGCGAAATGGATTTAAATGGCAGCTCATTGTTTTTTATTGGGAATATGACACAATTTTACTTTACAATAAGTGTAATATAACATTTTGATTTATACTTCGGAAATCGTTTTATATAAATAAAATTTATTAATGTTTGGTATTTTAAAAACGATTTCCGAATTAAAAATCTAAACATCAAAATAAGCTTATTTTAAAGTGACATTATGCCTTATTTCCAATAAAAATATTAAACTGCATATAAATAAAAAAGCTTCGTACAAAACTATTTGCCAACGTGGCGTGTCGCGTGGTCAAATCACCGAATCAAAGGGTAAACAGGTATTTACGAATAGAGGTGGGTCATTGACGTCGCAAAACCGATTTTCGTAAACAAGTAACTATGATTTTTTAATAGTAGTTTCAAGTAAGAAACTACCTACATAAACAAACATAATGGCTATTATCGTTTATCTGTATATTTATTGAAGTGAAGGAAACTAATAAAAGATTTTATTATAACTTGAAAACTAAACTAAACAATACAAATAGTAAATCGTACCTACGTTTACATTACAGGTTATTATTAAATCATTATTTGACATTTAAAAACATAAGTTTTTTTACTTTACTTCTTATTAATTGTGTTTTTCTTTTATTTAAAATTAAACCTGATTTTGAACATGTGTTCACATTTACAATACTTTATGAATATGTGGTTAAGTTAGGAGTTACATGGCGATGGTTTTTTCACCATTGTAATGGACTCTCGCTACAGGTGTACGTTTAGATGAGTCATGTCCAATTAATTGATCAAAAATACACCATGGACTTAAGTCATCTTTATCGGTTTCTTTTTCTTATACTGGTTGATTTTCAATAGTACAATCTTCTTGTTCTTTAATTATAGAAGTAACCAGCTTCTTAACTCTTTCTTTTGTTTTTTTAGCGTCATTTTTATCAGAAAATCCCTGCACTTTAAATCGTGAATCCATAAACGTACATAATGACAATATGCCACTGTATTCTATCCCTCTAAATCTTTTTGCTAAACCCGAGATTAGTAATTATCCCGTAATTAGTAATAAAAACTCGTACTACGTCGGATACTAACTATGGATGTAAGGTTACTGTTGGCTAAAATTTTATTGCAAGATTTTTGCAGGCAGCGTACCAGAACAATCACTGAACTATCATTCAAGTATTTTTGGCCACTCATTGTACTTGTTATTTCTTTAAAAGGCCGTAAAATTTAGGACAATTACGAAAAAATAATCCAGTCTTCATTATTTAGATTTGGTCTAAGTCTAAGTCTGTATTAACTGATACCAATGTTTAACGGATTGCCTCTTCTAACTCCGTCATTCTTTCTAACATGTAATAGGTGAAGTTCTACCTAGTTTCCACGTCTTGGATTGGCCGTTTGGGATCTTTGTTATGTTGTAATTGATACTTTAAAGGCGTTTCTGAAGATAAGGTACTTTTTTGAAATGTGTTTTTTGCCGAATTGTCGAAAAAAAGACTTTTTATTTTATCTATTTGTACACGACAGCATTTAAGTGCGTCCTCCATCAATAAATTTAACGTATGAGCAAAACAATTTAAATGTTTTCATTCCAAAGCATATTTAATAGCTATGACCATATTTGAGGCAATATCAGTTACTGCAAAATTTACTTTTTGTTTTAGACCCCCTGAATAATAATTTCACTAATTTTAAAAGCGATGTTTTCCTAATTATGGTTTCCAGAAAAATGGCAGCAGTCTAATTAAACCGTGTTAAACTCTAAATTTTCGGTTAAATTCGTTAAAATCAACTAGTTGATGGTTGAAGCTGGTTACTTCTATAAAAAAAAAGATTATACTATTGAAAATTGACTAGTACAAGAAAAAGAAACTGATAAAGATGACTTAAGTCCATGTAAATGTAAGTACTATTTGTATTGTTTAATTTATTTTTCAAGTTATAATAAATATATTCTTCGTTAGTTTCTTTCACTTTAATACTTATACACATAAACGATAATAGCCAATATGTTTGTATACTCGCTAATTTGAATACTGGTAGACAATCAACTAGTTACAGTTTACGAAAAACGGTTTCGATAAAAATTTAAAAAACTAAAGGACCCACCTCTAGTTTCTTAGCTTTATGAGGATCGGAACCACAGAATATGTAAAATATCTCTGATCGGAACTAATCGTCTCACTAACAGGCAAAATGGGCGTCAAGAAGATTTATGGAGGGGAGACTAAGGGGGAATATGATTGTTATCTTTGTCTATTCGCTGAAAATATGATTTTATATCTGTGTTAGATATCCTGTTAAGTTTTACCATACCGACCATAAAATTTTACCTACACTGTATATACTGTTTTAGATAGGTTTTTTACTCCAAATCAATCATTAGTGTCAAATGTAATACCGAAATCAATAACCAAAATTTATTTTTACATGCATCATTAAGGTTATTATTTTAAAAGAGTATATTGCCTGTTTGTACTAGTTCTTTGGATTTTTCATTCCATACTAAAAATATTGTGAGCACTGGCAAACACTTTAAATTAAAGAATTGTAACGTAAATAGACTTGCTAAATATTATTTCACGTTTGTATATTATTAAATATATATTAAAATAATTTTTTTGGGATTTAAGATCATAAAAGAAATAACTTGAAACATAGCAAATAAAACTGTCTCTGTTAGAATAAAAATGAAGATATTTTTTTAATGTAATTAAAATCAAACATTAAATATCTATTATTTGAAATAAAATTAAAAAGTTATAGTTACAGTAGAGTTTTTTCATTTTATCTGAAATTATTAACTATTTTTATAGCAAAAACCGACTGAAAGTATGACTGACTGAAACTAGAAATAAATCTAGTACAGACAACTTAAGATTGCATATTTTGCATTTCATAAAGTTTGCTTGCTTTTTGTTCTTAAAAACTTTTATTGTTCGTAAATGAACTTTTAATTTTATATTTCTCATTTATATAATGTTCACTGTCGACGTTTGGACTGACACTAGTACAAACAGTAGAAAACAAATACTGATATAGAAAATAATACAAATAGAACTGACATTAAACATCAAAAAGAGATAAAAAAAAACTGAAATATGTGTAGCCAACAAATATTGTGCACCACGTTGGGCGCCACTTTGTACCTTCAAAATCATTGTACGACCAGGGTCGTTAAGCAACACCACACTGCTGGAAGGAACGAGGGTAAAAATCCGCCGAATATCTTTAGGGATATTCAACAGATAACGCCCATAGTTCTACCCATCATAATGGTGCTCTACCCAACTTCTGCCTGATCATTTTTCATCACTACCATTCCAGAAAGGTACATGAAATAAAAAGTTACCTAGTCATGATATGTTTATTCAGTAAATTAATATTAAAAAACATATCAGAGATAATAAAAAATAAATTTCTCAGCTGCGATTCAAAGTTTGTTAGTTGCCGGTATGAAATAATTAGATAGTGCTCAGCTTTAGTTCTTTTCCAGTGAAGTCACGCAATCTTCTAAAATTATATCATGTACTTTGTCAATTATTGTCGGTGTGCTTGCAGTTTGGCATCCTTTACCTGGATCGTCATGGCCACGTTTAAATTCGGTCGCCTGGGCAATTTTTTTCACGGTACAAACTTCTCTTCAGTTGCTATGCGCTCTTGTATTGCCTTAAAAAGGTAGTAACTCGGCAAGAAAACAATCAAATTCGTTGTACGTTGGCTACACAGATTTTTAGAAATAATTAAATAAACATTTTTTCATCGTGTACATATTTAGAATTTCAACGTTATTTTAAACTTAATATTTATTGCAATTACTAATATATTACATTTTGATATATTTAAGGTTCTCATTTGTGGTAATCTCATTTGCAGCATCACCATATCACATTATCATATTTTTTAAAAGTAAATCCGCTTCTATATTCTGACGGTATGTTAGTAAAATGTCGGATAAATAAAGTACTTTTCAGAAACTATCAATAGTTTTTTCTAAAAAAATATTGTTGCGCGATGGTATTTTTCTAAAATTTTAAATATATAGTTTACAATATTTTACGATAAATTTTATTTACATTTAGTGAGTGCCTCTTATATATTCACTAAAAGTATTTGCTACTAATAATATAAGTTTGAGATTTGATTTGATAAGCTATACTCTTTTTATACGTTTATATCGGATATTTATCAGTTGTTTGCGTATTATTAGATGTGCTTAAAGTTTTTACGACTTAAATACCAGTTTATACTCGATAAGGGTACTATCAAAAAACGCGATGAGGACTTATTGTAATTGTGAATTTTAATTGATTATGTATTAAAAAAACAAACTACAGTATTTTCCATATTTACTATAAACAAATTACAATTTTAATTAAAATAAAAATTGTAAG